GCATTTTCCAAAGTGCCAGGAGAAAAAAAAAAAATGGGACAAGAACCATTTGTAGGGAAAGTAGAATCAGCGTTGGCTCTTTTGCCACTAGACCAGCCTGGGGGAATGCAGAGACTCGAAGACTCGAAGGAACAGAAGGTTAGGAAAAAGGCCATCTGAGACATGCATTTCAATCCCTGCTGTGCTTCCTGCAAACTGTGCCAACTTGGGCAAGTCACTTTACCTGTTTAAATCTTGGTCGCTTCCTCTGTAAAACAAGACTAGTTTACCTGCACGGGGATTCTCTGAGGAATCAGTGCAATCATATTTGTAAGAAACCCAGTACAGAGCCTGGTGTTTAGCAGAGACTTACTAAGCCTGAGAAAGTACTCCTCACTTCCTTCCCTAAATCCAGAAGCAACTTTCCTTAATCTGACTTCAATTTAAGGAGCATTCATGACATACTGTATGGTATAAAAACCAATAGATTGAATTTATGCCATAACTTGATGACTGACCAGAGAAAGTGTTTGATAAATATTTTTGCATGACTGAATACTTGTATGTGAATAAATAAGCAAACAAAGAGAACGGTAGAGTCATAGAAGAAGAAGTGATTAATGGAGGACTCATGTCACCTTCTATTCCTCTTCTCATTCGTGGAGTTTTGTTGGGAACCATTTGGGGCTCTCTTTCTACCCTTGAGTTGACCCTCCCCAAGAGAAGAAAGGTGGTTACTCCAGTCGTTTACTAGACCTCATTTTTCTAGGAGTCAGGGTTACTTCCTGTCCCTGAGATATAAGTAGACTAGAACCAAATTTAGTAGGTCTGCCATTCTTTGTGAGGCCTGCATCCTAGGTGTGTGCTCTTGCCTGTGATCTTCATCCACACTTACGCTTGGGTAAGGGATTCAGAGCGTCCTCTATATACCCAAGCATGTCTCTTCACATAACCCAGGTGTGTACACCCAGGTGGAAGGCTCCATCTGAGCCCCAGGCCTGCCCATGCAACTAAGCACTGAAAAGGAACTTATTATAGAGATGACTCTATTGAAAATAGCCAGAGAAAAGTATTTGGCATCTAATTTATCAAATGAAATCATAGGTTTTCCCAGCATAGGGTGTTTTCGTTGGTAAAACAATTATACTGTTTTCAATTCTTATTAACCTTCCTGCAGGCAACATTTATTGGTATCCCCCATGACAACATAATTAGTATTCTAAGGGTATTTTTCACCAGCTGCTTATGTCTTCAAGTTAAAAGTCAACAGCTAAATATATAGCATGGCAAGGGCATACACAGTAAAATTGATTTTAGTACTCACAACGACTTGATTATCGATATTTATAGCTGTAATTAGAGAAAGGCTTAATGCCTTATATAATCGGTTCTTTAGTGAAAGTTTCACGACAGAGGACTTGGTGCTAATTTACCTTGTAGCATCGAGGAAGGAGTGCTGCTCTCTAAGCCACACCATCGGCTTTAGTTTCTAGGTTCGTTAACTACGAAACACGCTGCCCTACATTATGTATGTGTAGTGCATTAAGGGCTCTTTATTGAGCAGCTTTGAAAGAGAGTTTCTATTCCAAGTTGCTAACATAATATATGCCTCTCCCCAGAGTCCGGTTGGCTATTTGAGTCTAGGCAATGAGCGATGCTATTTGTTAATAGAAAAATAATGTTAATTCTGTATAATGCTGATATATCTATAACATAATGTAGCAAAAAAGTTTCATCTTTCCTACATGAATGCCTTTTTACCTGGAAAGTTTTAGAACCATTCCTACATATTTTTAATATTCTTTCTTGTATTCTGGTCTCAGACATTGGAGGATTTTTCCCAAAGTTTATTAAAAAATTTTTTTTGCATGATAATAGAAATAACTACTAGTTATTGAGCACTGACTGCATGCTAGATCCTTTACAAAGCACATTGTGTGTGTGTGTGTATGTATAAAATGTCATTTCATCTTTGTAACAACCTGGTGGAGCAGGCACAGTTATGTCTCTATTTCACAGATGATGAATGTGAGGTTTAGAGAGGTGAAGTGACTTACATAAGATGACACAACAATAAGTGGTAGTACTTCCTACTAGTTAAGTTCAGGCAGTCTAGCTCCTATGGATGAATTCCTAACCATCTATTACAGCTGTAGCCTGTCATGACCTACCTCTCCATGAAACTGCCAGTGCTCAGGCCACTGCTTGCTACTTTTCTATTGTTTTCTTTCTCTTCTTAAAGCAAACAAACATTTTATATGCATGTATATATATATATGCATACTCACATATATGTCACACATGTATGTATACATATTTATATGCATACGTCTTACAGGAACACTCATTTTATTGTGCTTTGCTTTACTGTGCTTCACAAATATTGCATTTTTTTACAAATTGATGGTTTGTAGCAACCCTGCAGCGAGCACGTCTGTCGTTGCCATTTTTCCAACATTATGTGCTCACTTCCTGTCTCTGTGTCATATTCAGGTAACTCTCACACTATTTCAGACTTTTCAGACTTTTTCATTGTTATTATATCTGTTATGGTGATCTGTGATCAGTGATCTATGATGTCACTATTGCAATTGTTTTAGGGTGTCACAAATCATGTACCTATAAGACAGCAAACTTAATCAATAAATGTGTGTGTTCTGACTGCTCCGTGCACAAGCTGTTCTCCCATCTCTTTCCCTTTCTTCAGGCCTTCTTAGTCCCTGAGACACAACAATATTGAAATTAGGTCATCAGTAGCCTCTAAGTGTTCTAGGGAAAGGGAAAGTTTCTTGTTTCTCACTTTAAATGGAAAACTAGAAATGATTAAGTTTAGTGAAGAAGACATGCTGGAAGCTGATATAGGCTGAACGCTAGGCCTATTGTGCCAAACAGTTAGCCAAGTTGTGAATGGAAAGGAAAAGTTCTTGAAGGAAATTAATAGTGCTACTCTAGTGGACATACAAATGATAAGAAAGTCTTATTGCTGATACGGAGAAAATTTTAGTGATCTGGACAGAAGATCAAAGCAGCCACAACATTTCCATAAGCCAAAGCCTAATAGAGAGCAAAGCCCTAACTCCCTTCAATTCTATGAAGGCTGAGAGAGGCGAAAAAGCTAGAGCTAGAGAAAAGATAGAGCTAGCAGAGATTGGTTCATGAGTTTAATAACACAGGCATGCAAGGTGAAGGAGCAAGTGCTGATGGAGAAGCTGTAGCAAGTTATCCAGAAGATCTAGCTAAGATCATTGATGAAGGTGGCCACACTGAACAACAGATTTTCAACAGAGACAAAACAGCCTTCTCTTGGAAGAAGATGCCATCTAGGACTTTCATAGCTAGAGAGGAGAAGTAATGCCTGGCTTCAAAGCTTCAAAGGATAGGCTGACTCTCTTATTAGAGACTAGAGCTTGATGACTTTAAGTTGAAGCCAATGCTCACTCAGCATTCCCCAAATCCTAAGGCCCTTAAGAATTATGCTAAATCTACTCTGCCTGTGCTCTATAAATGGAACAACAAAGCCTGGATGATGGCACATCTGTTTACATCATGGTTTACTGAATATTTTAAGCCCACTGTTGAGAACACTGCTCAGAAAAATAGATTCCTTTCAAAATGTCACTGCTCACTGACAACGTACTTGGTCACCCAAGAGCTCTGATGGAGATGTGCAAAGAGATTAACACTGTGTTTGTGCCTATTAACACAACATCCATTCTGCAGCCCATGGATCAAGGAGTCATTTCAACTTTTAAGTCTTATTATTTAAGAAATATATCTTATAAGACTCTCTGCCCCATATGTCAATCCCTCTGATGGATCATGTCAAAGCAAATGGAAAACCTTTTGGAAAGACTTCACCATTCTAGATGTCATTAGGAACACTTGTGGGTCTTGGAAGGATGTCAAAATATTGACATTAACAGGAGTTTAGAGAAGTTGATTCCAACTCTCATGTATGACTTTGAGAGTCTTCAGTGGAGGAAGTAGCTACAGATGTGGTGGAAATAGCAAGAGAAATAGAATTAGAAGTGGAGCCTGAAGCTGTGTGCATTGCTGTAATCTCACGATGGAACTTGAACAGATGAGGAGTTTCTTCCTAAGGATGAGCAAAGATAGTGATATCTTGACACGGAATCCACTCCTGGTGAAGATTCTGTGAACATTGTTGAATTGACAATAAAGGATTTAGAATATTTCGTAAACTTAGTTGATAAAGCAGTGGCAGGGTTTGAGGGTACTGATTCTGATTTTGAAATAAGTTCTACTGTGGGTAAAATGTTATCAAACAGCATCACATGCTACAGAGAAATTTTTTGTGAAAGAGTCAATTGACACAGAAAACTTTATTGTTGTCTTATTTTAAGAATTTGCCACAGCCACCCCAACCTTCAGCAGCCGCCACCCTGATCAGTCAGCAGCCGCCAACACCAAGGCAAGACCTTCTACCAGCAAAAAAAATTATGACTCATCGAAGGCTCAAATGATCATTAGCATTTGTAGCAATAAGGTACTTTTAAATTAAAGTATTCACATTGTTTTCTAGACATAATGCTATTGGACACTTAATAGACTACAGTATAGTGTAAAAATAACTTTTATATTCACTGGAAGACTAAAAAATTCTTATAACTCATGTTATCATGATATGCGCCTTATTGCAATGGTCTAGAATTGAACGCACGTTTTCCAAGGTACGCCTTTTCACTACATGGAAAAAACATAAATGTTAACTTTGATTTTGATATTCAAAACAACTTCTTTATATTTGTAGCTATAATAACTCAAGGGGCATACATATGTACATGTGCACATATACATATTTGTGCTTTGATGTCATTTTAGAAATTTTTGAGACATTTCCATATAGAGCATCGTTTTCATGATCTAATTTGATCCTCAGATTAGCTCTGAGAGGTTGGTAGATCCTGTATTATTTGTCTCATTTTAGAAATGAAGTGACCTGTCCAAGGTCAATTCACCACTGTGGTAGAACTCAAACCAGAACCCCGCTTTAGCCGTTATTCCAGAATATGCAAATACTGTGCTGCCTTCCATGGGTCATCAGGCAAAGAATAACATTCTGGGCTGTGCACAGCTAAGGGATGGAAATGAAATAGCCATGTTAACATGAACCTCAGGCACCGGGTTTGTGCAGGAGTTTCCTGGGTGAGTCTGTCCTTTCCTGGGGAATCAGCTATCTTGATCTTTCATAGTGTCTGTTTACAGAGTTAACTGTGCCTCCTTGCACTGCCTTGGGACTCAACCTAAATTCTAATCCCGACCATCATCCCAGTGTGTTATATGGTCCATATATACTGATGTGATTTCCCCTACTAGCTTGTGAGCTCATTTCTATGATTCAGTTTTTAGCACAGAGCCTGGCAGTGGAAGGTGTTCAAATATTTATCCATTCATTTATTTGTTCTACATAAAAGTTTGCTGAGTTTATTGGCAATTGGAGAACAAACGGAGAAATAGAAAAGGAAAAAGATTTAGAGACATAAATTCCAGTTTAACTTATTTTGCCATAGGACAGGTTCTCCATAACCTTTACAATCCTCCCCTCTTTGCCCAAAATACTAAACTTTGTCTGGAAAAACATCACTAAGAGCTCCACCTTCCAAGAATGGGTAAGAGTAAGGCTTGTAGTGCCAGAAATGGCCTACAAAGATGTTCTTTGGGGACTTAATGTGCCCTCCAGGACAGTGGAACCTATAAAACTTGTAGGAGGGAATTCTAGGGAGGAGACCAGCATGGCAAAGCAAACTGCTCCCTCCCACCACAGAGTTAAAAAACAATGTCCAGCCTTTAAGTTGTGGGAAAGAGAATGGTGAAATCATTCTCTGTCTGGCACAAGTTGCAGACTATTAAGTCGTTTGGGAAATGTGGACTTGTACCAATCTACGAGATTGGCCATGGCCATTTTAATATGTTTTTGAAAATCAGCGAGTGCTTAAAAACTTGTAGTAAAAGCCCTAATAAACTAAATTAGACCAGGACTCTGCCAGAATTGTATTTACCTCCTGAAGTGGAGGGTTAGGAAACCACGTTGAAAATTAAAGCAAAAAAGAGAAAAATGAGCAATAGATCTGTGTGTTTGAGGATTTGTTTGGTCAAAAGAATTAACTGTCCACTAACAGAGACAGATCATTTGCAAAGGGACAGGGGAGTTCTTTTGATGACACATTGATATGAATAATGCCACTCCCATTTTTTTCTAACTTTTGTTTTACAAGTCTTATTTGTTTTTACAAGGTTAAGTTTGGAGGGAGGGGGGTAGCTACTGTAGCCAGAAGAAGAATAAATGCTTTGTGCATTGTGCATACCCATGTAGTATACTGAACAAGTACTAATAAGAATAAAATTATTGAAGCAAATAAAATCACATATACTTTTTAGTCACCTGGGAGAAGGGCTACACCAGCCTTCTTGTGCATATAAAAATAATAATTCTTCACATCTGAATAGCATTACAGAACTTATAAAGCCCTTTCACATATATTATCACATTTGATCTTTAATAACCTTGTGAATCAGAAATGATCTGTGTTATCATCCCATTGTACAGTTCCAGAGGGGGTAAGTGCTTGTTCAATGTTGTGAGCTACTAGGAGTCAGTCAGTCAGGTCTTCCAACAGTGTTCCAGCCCCAAGGCATTCCACATTGTCCACTGGGACACACGGGAGCTGTAATATGCATTGGAGCCAAAAATCCCTAAAGTCATTTGACACAGGAAAGGACATCACAGAACTGGTCTACACCAGGAGAATAGCACAGGGCCAAGGGTCTCACACAGCACAGTGCAGACACGTGCTAACTGTGTGGCCCTTAGAACACCGGTGCAACATGAGGAACCACTTCCTGAAGGTGTTGTTAAAGATTGCATGTAGCTAGGGCAAGTGACTGTGCGTTTTGAGAATTTCTAAGAACTCACTGGCTTTGAGACCACTTTTCCTGTCTGTATTAATGAGGGGCTGGTATGTTAGTTTCCTATTGCTTCTGTAACCAATTACCAAAAGCTGAGTGGCTTAAAACAAACAAATTTATTGTCATGGTTCTGGAGGACCAAAGTCTAAAATCAAGGTATCATTCTTCCTCTGGGAACTTCAAGAGAGTTGCCTCTTCCTTGCCTTTTTCAGCTTCTAGAGGCTTCCTGGAAAATAATAAGAAATATATACACTGGTCCCTGTCCCCAATTCTTGGCACAGAGCTCCTAAACTCTCATAATCTCCTCAGTGATAGGGGTGCTGGGAGAATCTTTTGTGCTTATATTTGGTCTTTGACCTGGTTGCTGATGCAGAGCTCCTAAATCCCTTAAAATATATAGGAATGTCTATTGCTCTAATGAGGCAACTCTTTGTGGGCTCCTGGGTAGCTTCAGGATGGGGACTGGTCACCAGAAAGACCAAACCTCCATTAGAAACTCAGAATCTTCGGTCCCACCCCATCCTCTGGGGAGGGGAGAGGGACTAGAGATTGAGTTAATGGACCATGCCTATGTGATGAAGCCTTCATAAAAATCCTGAACAACAGGATTCACAGAGCTTCTGGGCTGGTGAACACATGGAGGCGCTGAGAAGGTGGTGTGCCCCGAGAGAGTGTGGAAACTCCATGCCCCTTTCTCATACCTTGCCCTGGTGCATCTTCCATCTGGCTGTTCCTGAGTTGTATCCTTCATAACAAACTGGTAAAGGTAAATAAAGGTTCCTTTGAGTTTTGTGAGCCATTATAGAAAAGTATCAAACATGGGGGGAACCCTTAATTTATAGCCAGTCGGTTACAAGCACCTGGGACTTTTGGTTGGCATCTGACGTGGGGAGCAGTCTTATGGGACCAAACCCTGGGATCTGATGCTAAGTCTAGGTGTATAGTGTCTGAATTGAATTAAATTGTAGGACACGTAGGTGGTATCAGAAAATCAGTCAGTGTGAGAAAACTCAGACGTATCTTCAGACCAGAAGTGAAGTATTGTGAGTACAGATGGGGAAAAAAGAGTTTTTCCCTTTAGTTGGTGTAGAGAAGAACAATTGCTTTCTCCTATACACTACCTACATTCCTTGGCTTGTGGCTCCTCCCTTGTATAATTCCAACCTCTTGCTTCCATTATCACATGTGCTACTACCCATCCTCCTGCCTTGTTTTATAAGAACTCCTATGATTACATTGGACCCACCTGGATAATGCTGGATAATCTCCCCATCTCAAGATCCTTAAGGTGATCACATCTGCAAAGTCTCTTGTCATATAAGGAAACATATTCACAGGTTCTAGGGATTAGGATATAAATGGTTTTTTTTTTTTGGGGAGGGGGCTATTATTCAGCCTACCAAACCTGAGATAAACAAAACTTCAGAATGTACTTGTAATTCTGCTTTATCATTCATAAATAGAGTGATAAAACTCATGATTTCAATGGAACAGAATAGAGAGCCTAAAAATAGACCCACATGAGCATAATCAACTGATCTTTGACAAAGGAGCAAAGTTAATACAATAGAGAAAAGATACAAAAATTTGTGCTGGGACAACTAGACATCTACATTGAAACAAATAGAATCTAAACACAAACCTTACACGCCTCACAAAAATTAATTAAAAATCGATCACAGACTTACATGTAAAACATAAAACTATAAAACTCCTAGAAGAAAACATAGGCAAAAATTTGGATGACCTTGGGTTTGATGATGACTTTTTAAATACAACACCAAAGGCACAGTCCATGAAAGAAAGTATTGATAAGCTATATTTCATTAATATTAAAAATTTCTGCTCTGTTAAAGATATTGCCAAGAGAATGAAAAGGCAAGCCACAGACTGGGAGAAAATATTTGCAAAAGACATATCTGGCAAAGGATTGTTATCCAAAATATACAAAAACTCTTAAAACTCAACAGTAAGAAAACAAATAACCCAATTAAAAAAAATGGGCCAAAGACCTTAACAGGTACCTTCCCAAAGAAGATTTACACATAGGAAATCAGCATGTGCAGAGATACGCCACCTCATCTGTCACCAGGGCAACGCAAATCAAGACAACAGTGAGATGCCACTATACGCCTATTAGAATGGCTGAAATCCAGAATGCTGTCAACACCAAATGCTGGTGAGAATGTGGAGCGACAGGAATTCTCATTCATTGCTCATGGCAATGCAAAGTGGTCCAGCCACTTTGGAAGACAGTTTGGTGGTTTCTTACAAAACTAAACATACTTTTACCGCACTATCCAGCAATCACACTCCTTGGTATTTATCCTAAGGAGTTGAAAACTTACATCCACACAGAAACTTGCATAGGAATTTTTATAACATCTTTATTCATAATTGCCAAAACTTGGAAGAAAGCAAGACATCCTTCCTGAGGTAAATGGATAAATAAACTGTGGTACATCCAGACAGTGGAATATTATTCAGCAATAAAAAGAAATCAAGCCATGAAAAGACCTGGGGGAAACTTAAATGTGTATAACTAAGCGAAAAAAAAAATTAAAAAATAAAAAGAAGAAAGCTACATACTGCGTGAGTCCAACTAGATGACATTCTGGAAAAAGCAAAACTATGGAGACAGTAAAAAGATCAGTGGTTGCCAGGGATCAGTGGGGAAAGAGAGGTAAATAGGGAAATCACAGAGGATGTCTTAGGGCAGTAAAATTACTCTGTGTGATACTATAATGGTGAAAGCATGTCATTATACATTTGTCCAAAATCATAGAATGCACAATGCCAAGACTGAGCCCTACTGTAAACCATGGACTTTGGGTGATAATGATGTGTCAGTGTAAGTTCATCAATTGTAACAAATGTGCCACTCTGGTGGGGGGGGGGCGCTATGCGTGAGTGGGGGCAGGACATACATGGGAACTTTCTGTACCTTCTATCAGTTTTGCTGTGAACCTAAAACTGCTCTGAAAAGCAAAGGGTATTTTTTGAAAAACCAACTCAACAGGTAAGCATGTCATCCTTCACCTCTGCCCCACTGTTCATCTCTGTTTTCTATTAATAAGCATCATGTACATAGCTGCAGAAATTTCATGAGAGACAGAGAGAGGGAGAGAGAAAACACACATATTAGGAGTAAGCACACGAGTTGTGTCTCTTAACCATTGTTTTTGTATAAGAAAGAATATTCGATCTCCCTACTTGAACAGCTCATCCTGAGAGCATTC